CATTAATGAGAAATTGAACAGGTGTTCCTAATAATCCTTTTGGTGAGTCACTGAGTGTATATACATCCAGATGGAAACCTTAACCCAGGGTGGTCGAGTGTGTGAAGCAAATGAACAAAGAGATAGATGATCGCAATCTTCCCAGCGTCTTTCACTTTCATTTTAAAGGGCCCACTTGCTCAATATCCCAGCAGCCCCTGAAGCTGTCCAATAGCGTTATACCGCTGGGGCAGCTGGGAGATGTAGTACATTTTTAAGTAGCGCTGGTAAAACACAGCGCAGGGCAATAAATTTCCGCTGAGGGAAAAGTGTATTCGCATATTGATTGAGATAAAAATTTCGAGACTTATGGCCATGACCAAGGCAAGATCAAGACAAAATGGACTCAAGACCGAGATCAGGTCCAGCGGTCCGAGATCAGGTCCGGTATCGAGACCAAGACCTGATCTCGAGAACTACAACTGTGCTACGTACTATTAACGCTATTTTTTGAAGGTATTTCACAGTACATTTTCCAGTTTAATGCCCTCTGAAATTGGGACTATTTCATTAAGACCTACTGTACAAAAACTATAGTATGGAGTGAGATCACTGCCAAATATACGAGAGCGCAGACGCATAGATAAACCGAGCAAAACAGACAGTACGAGCGCGCACTGCGCCTTTGAAACGCAGATAAGAGCGTTTCTTGCGCGCTTCTTAGTTTTCTGCTTGCTTTGGAAATCCCTGCGCGCTTCGCAATTTTCTGCTCGTTTTGTAATTAAAACAGGAAATTACGTCAGAGATTCAAGGCGTGGTAGCTGATTTCCGGGACTGTCGATTGAAAGTGCACAAAAGGGTATGGCATTGGCTGCAGAACGTGCACTCTTAGCTATATGCACGCTCAGTTACAACGGCAAGTGCAACCCGGAAATCGATTCGTAATTGCTAGTTAGTGCTAATAAAGTGTAAAAATGGTACGTTTTCGAACGATATGAAATATTCTTAATCTGGCCTTTGTTGGTTTATTAAAATGTTAAAATACCAGATTAAGTTAATCAAGCTAAATGCTAGCCTGTTATTCTTGTAATTATTAGCATCCTGACCGTGGTAGCGTAGCGAGATCGACCACTGATGTTCAGATGTTCCCTTATTTCCAAGGAAAAATTAATTGTGCAACCATCATAACTCGCTAACGTACCCACGCAGTGCGCGTGTCTCCTTATTATATATAACCAACATACATACAGATATGTATGACATTGTGGCGAGAGGAAAAAGGCAGGAGGCAGATGTTTAGTCCGTGAAAGGGACGAAGCACTTTTTATTAACAACAAAACAAACAAGAATAGAGCAAGATCCGGTTGCCGCCAAGATAACCAAAAACAGCAACCGGAAGTTGAACAAGCCTTCAGAATAAGAGCACATCTGCCCTGAGAATTCTGATTGTTTATGAACCCGCTACAACATACAGTGATCATCCACTATAATATCGCGGTTCACCTATCGCGCCCCCGCTATATCGCGGATTTTCCCCCGACGCATCACAGTTCTCTGCGATGCGTGTGTGTGTATACAGTATGTATATATGTACATTACATATTGTGGTGAATGGATGAGACTGTCCGGGAGTAATAAGGAGATTAGCCACAGGTGAAATCAATAACTAAGCGGGGGAGGGGC